CTGCGTGTGCATGTGTGTGTGTGAGTCTGTGTTTACGGAGGATGGGGGGTGTGCGTGCCCTGAACCAGAACACTCGCAGGGGGCAACAGAAAAGAAGCAGTAAGTTTGAGAGGAACAGAAAACTTCAGAACGAGACAGTGGAGGGCCAACAGGCATGCCAGTCAAGACCGTCACTTTTGGAGTGAGTACCAACACGCTGCCATCTCTGTCTCACCTTCCTCCTGTTCCAGTCTGACTGGACCTCTAGCTGCCTCCATATTTTATTCTTCTGTCTCACTGTCTGTGGCTTTTCCTAGACGGATTTTTATATTTGGAATGTTTTACTCTGACGACAACCTGCTCTTCCATTTTCCCCATCAACGACATGGCAATACCTTCTTTTGTAAACCAATTTATTTCATATTTGACTGGAACACAAAAAACATGTAATTAATCTTCTTGATTTCAGATGATTTTATTCAGTTTGTTCTTTTGCTTGTTTGCTCACTGTTTGCATTTTCTGCTTGCCACTTCCCATTTCTGGTTGTGACTTTGGATCTGAACATTATTTCTGCCCGTCAACAAACAGATTCCCTCATTTACAGCATACACGTTGAATTCTTTAACCCTGTGAGGAGGTGGTGAAGTGTTTAAAAACCTCACAGTGAACTCAATTGCTTGGGAGTACTTGTGATGTGTGTGTCCATGATTAGTGCAAGTAGGGTGTTAATCGTTGTAAGTTCCTCGACTTAATCTTGTTTTTGCTTTCATTTGTTTCTCTGTTTGATGTTCAGATTGTGTGATGTCCACCAGGATTAGCAGTGGTAAGTAAACTAGGGGTCGGTAAACTGATTAGAGGGTCAGTGAATAAAATGCTGTCTGTCCAAATCAACTGAAGACAACAGAGCACTTAATTTGTTGAACTACAGATGAATGCTGCACAGAAGATGTGCATAAGGTGCCAGTGCTTATTTCATGATTTGAAGGATTTTGTTTCTATATTAATAGTGAATGTGTTTGTAGGATTTTATTGAACTGCTCATGATATAACTCATAGAAATATTTTTTTTTTCATTGAGTCACTTTGACAAATACTGTCAGTTTAATCATCTCAAAATTATTATTATTTTGACTGAAACTCGTTTTTATCTTCCTTTTTATGCAAGTTTCTTTTCATAAATGTTAATTGTAAGTTACCTTAAAAACCAGTGGAGAAACAACAACAGCAGTGTTGGCATGGCGCTGCTGTGTTTTGTGGCTGTTTGGGGGTTTGTCAGGTGCTGGCTTACATTTAGAAAAGACGAAGATTTTTTGGGAAAAATTACTTTTGTTTTCTACATGCCATTGTAGTTTTTCAGTGAATTATTTATCCACAGGTGGTTTAAACAAGGTTTCTAAGGAGTTATGGGGGAAAAATGGTGTTTTATCACTTTACAAGAATACTTGTATGGATCTGCATAGGGTGAAAAAACGGGGTTATTTTAAGATAAATTGTTCTAACAAGCAGAGTACTTTTTATTTAAATTATTTACTAATGGTATTTACTGGTAAACAGTTTGTGAATTTTGTGCAAAAGTTCACAAGCTGTTTAACATCAGCAAAACCATTTCTCAGCTGTTGCACAAACATTCATGAACGAGTCATACATTTTTTTCCACTTTATTTGAATTGGGAATGTTGTTTTACAAAGTTAACTTTGAGTTGTACTGAGAAAGACTTGAACCAAATGTTTGACCATAACTTCACCAAAAGTACAAGTAACTGTTTTTAAATGTATTTTGCAGGTTTAGGTGTATTGTTTAATTACCATTTTGTTCCCCAGTCTGTATTGTACAGTGTCAGTAAATGTTTGTGCACTTCCAAAATGTCCTAATAATTAGCTGAAAAATCTGAATACTTGTGATTACTGAGTCTGGAATTAAAAAAATGGAAGTGTGGAAAAACCCTGTTAAGACCAATAACAACCAAAAGCAAGTAACAAAATATCTGTCAAATACCAGCTTAATGAACAGATTGGATTATTATAATACTTGATATTCTGGAAAAATAAAAATTGCTTAAAGATTTAAGTCAGACAAACATTAGATTATAGAAAAGATGGATCATGTTTATCAAACCTTAAAGGTCTAAGATAAAAACTGCATTTTAACCCCAAAGTTGTTCTTCAAACTTATTCTCTATTTTCTTTCATAAATTCTTTGTCCATATTTTTTGTTTATAGTATTTACGTCATCTTTCTTACTTTACAATAACTTTATAAAGAGAGCATGTTCAAAATGGAAAGGTAACTTTATAGAAAACACCCACAGTTACTTTATGACATTTTAAGAAAAAGTACAAAGACGTCTTTTTTGCTCTATGTATCACATGTAAACATATTCTTACAGTTCCAGTCCTGCAAACTGTTTTGTATATTTTAGTGTGTTTTATAAGAAAACATTTTATTTTCTTAGCCCATGTTATCTAGTCAAAATGTACAAAAAGAATCATTATATTGAGTTAATTTAATACACTTTCATGTTAAGATGTGACTGGGAGGTTTTAAAAAGTAGTCTCAAAAACATCTGTGCTGTATTTATTTTTTATATTTTAGAAGAAATATTGTCCCCTTCCCCAATAATGGATTGCTGGGGTGGGGTGGGGGGCGTTTGCACCTGTTTTCCCAGGGGACACAATGAAGCATCATTCATATTACAGCTCCGATATTGCATATGTTAAATTTTGGTTTTGCAATCTTTGACCCAATATATTTTATGATTCCATATAAAATCAGAGCAACAACTGTTGTTTTCTCACCTTAAAATAATAATAAAATATACTGTGGTGTAACTGTGCAGTATGTTTACCATAAATTCATCTGATTCTTTTGGATCACAGACCCCATCTTCACCCTATGGCTTTCACCCTCTTTGTAATTCACAATAAGGTCACAATAACCATGACGATAATACCCATGACAATCTCATCTACGAGCGCAGAGGCTGCAGCAGGGCTGCTTATAAAGAGACCAGGAACAAACAGTGGGCTGCAGAGTGGGGGTCCCTGAGAGTGTGAGAAAGTAAATAGTAAAAGTGGGACAGTCTCCTTTAACACATCCAAGGAGTGGAGGCAAACACACAAACAGACCGACAGACAGACAGGTGGTGTTGGGTTGAAGATTGTAACAGTTTCAGCTTAGTGCCACATTTCCTGCAAACGTGCAATCCCACCAGACTTTTACACTTCATACATCTCTGCTGCTGCTGGAAACAGGCTGCCGACAACACCTTTAAGAAGCTGGAGGGATGAAAGATAGAAATCGGCAAAAAAAAAAAAAGTCAAGTCAGCAGAAAAATGTGATTAAAAATATGCTAAAAACAAACTGTGGGGATTAACATAATTGGCACTTATAGTTATTCTCAGATGGGGTTTTTTTTTCAACAAGTTCAAACAGATCAGGTTATTGGAGCTAAGTGAGTTTTAAAAAGACACAGTTTATGTGGTTTAAAGTTCAGAAAATTAGAGCAAGTGAAGCAGTACCTGTGACATGTTGAACATACGGAGACACCCTATTTTCACCATTTTTGCTGGATGTGCACTTAAATTATTTATGATTTGCACCTGGTGCTGGCTCTGCAAATTTATGTGCATTTGTGTTTGCAAGAGAAAGTTGTCTCTGTGTTGAAAAGCTATTTAAATAGCTGTTTAGCAGAAAGATTTATTTAAATGTTCTTTGGAAGGAGTTGTGCTCAGGTGGCAAATGGCAAAATAATCTGAGATTTCCTAACGTTCAGTAAAGAGACCTGATCAGATTTTAGTTGAACCAGCTGAATTAACACTTGAGTGGTTCCTGACAAAATATTATGGGCTAAAACTTGTTAAAAAAAAAAGGACTCTGAATAATGAAAATGTTTGTGTCTGATTTCCATTTTCTGAAACTTTTCATCTTGTTTCTCCCCATCACACATGAAGACACAGACTGACGTACTCAGAACTGTCACCAAAAAGCACATTTTATTGTGAAAAGAATGTGTCATTGTCATAAAAATCAGTCTGTTGCAGAAGACGGGGACTGTTGGTTTTGCTTTGAACATGCATGCACACATATGTGCATCGTTTTAAGGGGAATGATGTCATCGTGCCTGCTGCAGCACCAGCTGAGGGACAAAAAGCAGGAGAGAAACGCTTGTAAGAACCAGGAGTTAGAGAACAAAAGACAAACTATAATAAACAGGGAGTTTGAGGGAAAGTGAATGGATTTTTCTGTGATAGATGACGATTCTGGATTCTTTTTATTTGATAATTTGGGCCTTCATTATGAGAAACTGTGCTCTTTCTTCCCCTGAGGTCAGTTCCGTCCACGTTGCACGACTGTGTGTTTTGAAGCTGCCTGTGTTAACCAAAAAGCTTCTGCGAAAACCCATTGTCTGCTTCTTTTGCTCCAAACAGTGTGATTAATGTGGCTGCCCAGTTCTGCTCAGCCCAACAGCCTGAGGCTTGTCCACGCTTTGTGGGAATAATGAGAGGGTAAAGTGAGTGGGAGGTGGAGGGGGTAATTCATCCAAAACATATCCAGCAAAATGTACCAAAGGAGTTGCCTCATAACATCTTTGAACCACTCGGTTTGTGTGTCTGCTGTATGTACCTGTTTATACCATTTCAGCGGGTGTGGTTCTCCTGCATCCTTATCTCAACACACCACACACTCACTTGTTGACGTAAGCTGATAATCGCACTAACACGCAGACACATGCATGAAAATACTAAACTAACGAGCACGATTCTGAAAGGGCCTAAACCAGGTTCACCTCAGTGTTATGATGCTGCTACTGGAGTGAGAACAAACATTCTGTTGCTTCAGCTGCGTCTGTCAGAGGAAGTTTTTGTGTTGCTGTGGTGGAATCTGCAAATGTCTCACCCAACATTAAGGTATTGCTAAAAAATCAGAAGAATGGAAGGGTGGTGGAGGGGGGGATTTGGGAAATTCACGTTAGTTTTATACAAAGCTGCATGCAAAAGCAGTTTATAAAGAAGAATCTGTGTGTGTTGTGTACCGGTTTAGTAACAATCGTGGATGTGCGTTTGAGATCATATGTTCGGATTTCTGCTGGGGTCAGATTATTGTGATAGCAGCCTGAAAAGAGGAGGTGCTTGTCTCCGAGTGTGGCTCAGGATCCATTATGTTTGTGTACTTGTTTTTATTGTGAGCTGAGTAAACAAACTTGGAATACAAAACTTATAATTGTGTCTCACAATCACTTAGAACTTTAAAGAAAGATTGCTGCACGGGGTTTGAAGTGACTTTAGACTTTGTGTGAACTTGGACAGATTTTTCAGACATTGTTTTGCTGCCACAGTCAGCTGGAAGCACCTTCGTCGTGAAGTCTCACTTTTCTTGCCAGCAAAATCCTTTTTCCCTCAGTGACCCATTTCTTTGCACAGCTCTGTTCCTCTAGTGTCATGCTGAGGGTGTGTTGTGTCATTTGTTGCCATGCCTCCACGTCAGGCATGCAGATCTTTTCTCTGTTTTCTAAAAGGCCCTTTCCCTCTCTTGTTGTGACAGGGCTGTTGCCTCTTTTTGACAGTCAACAAAACATAAAGCTCTGTCTTATAGCGCTCTGCAGAATTTTTGGAGTATTCCTTTCTAACATAGGAAAGGTTAGTACATTGGAGGACTATATTTGTGTGTCAACAAGCAACGATGGGTGTATTTTTTCCTCCCGACTAGCATGTTGAGATAGTTGGTGAGACGCAGAGGGGCTGGAGTGGGAGAGGAGATTATGTGAATGAAAAGAAAGTGCAGATTTTGCCGCATTTGAGTTCTTGCCTGTGGATTTCCTCCTTTTTGTTCCCAATCCTGCTACCCCCTTTCTCTTTTCTCCTCTCCTCTCCCTCGCCCGCTGTCCCCCAGTGCCGCATGAGTGATCCTGTTTCAGCAGCACTCCTGCCTGCCTGGGAGAGGCTTGAAGCCTTCAGACACAGACAAAACACAGACGAAAACACTAAACGCACCATGTGCCGACCAGGACCCCCAGAAGCTTCACACTTTCTTTTATTTAAACACTCATGAAATCCAAACATCAGGCCCAAGAGCTGCTGGATGCAACATGAGTTCTACAGACTCTGAGTTCGTTGTCGCACCTCATCACCTGAGCAGAGGACAGATACACAGTCTTCAAGGTTTTCTGAAGCTGCCACAGCTCGAGTCACACCGATTTCAAGCTGCAGAAGCAGATATTTAAACTGCACTGCAGATCATGGGAGGAGTGAAATGAGAGGAAAACTGGTGGACAAGTGCCATCTCGCTCTGTGCACCCCCTGTTTTCATAAAGATACTAACCAAGCGCTCCTTCTCCACTTTTCCTCTTCTTCCTTTGTGTCTCTTACTTTCTCGTAAATCCTTCACTTCCTCCCCGCCATGTCCCCACTTTTGTTTCCTTTCTAGGCAGATGCTGGCAACAGTTTTCTCCGAGCTGCCCGATCTGGCAACCTGGACAAGGCCTTGGAGCACATCAAAAATGGCATTGATGTTAACACAGCCAATCAGGTGAGACAGAGCACAGTCCTTAGATTAAATTATCTGACTTCAAGTTATCAGCTAGCGGGATTATTTAGATTGTACAGACAGTTTTTGGCTCCTTGTTTGGTGACTTTTTATTGTACTGTACAAACACTGTAACAGAAATATTAGACAATTTGTTGACATTTGAATCTGCTCGTCATTTAATGTAACCAGAGTTTTAGACTTTGATGCTTCCTAACAGACTAAATTTAACTTCAGATCATTAATGGACTTCGTCTAATCCCCACTCAAAATAAATAAATAAATAAAAATAGCAGTATGGTAATAGAAAATTTGGTAGAACATAATAAACTGTGTTTACAAAAAATAATATAAGTAATTGTGTTTATATTTGGTTCTGAAATGATCAGATATACAGTATAATGGAAACTGAATACAGCATTAACGAGTTTATCCTACAAGTTATAGAAAGCAGTTCTAATCTCAACAATCGGACCTTTTTGCATCATGTTTTGCTCAAGTTTTGTGTGCCACCATTAACTGTGATTATATTTCTGTGGTCTGAGTGTCCAGTGTGCATGGGTCGAACACTGCTGCTATCAGCCTGTTTGCTTGTTGTCTGCATGGTTAGTCAGCGTTATAATCAGTTTGGAGGTGACAGGTAGACTTTACGGTGCCTCCAGAGGAGGTATTAAATGGCACAAAATTTTCTGCTACCTGGTCTCGTCCGTCTTGCTTCCTTTACTCTGACAGTTGTTTCTAAAGAGTCCAGGAGGAAGCAGATTACTGGGCTAACACTGATGCCCTCAAGTACTTGAACCTTGGCCGAAATCTTGCATGTGAGCACGAGTGACTCATCTGACTCATTAACCTAACATCTCTCAGTCCCTCGTGTTGTTCTCAGAAGGAAAAGAAAGCCTGTCCAGTAACAGAATGTTTTTGATTTGCAAGATTTTCATCCTTGTTACGGTTTTATTTTAATGTATATTTGGAATTCATCGTGTAATTGTCTCATTGTTTGATGTAAACTATGTTTTGAGGTAAAGTGATCATCTGCAGCTCTTTTATAATAAGGCAACAGTGTTTTGCACATGCAATACTTTGCAGTTTTCAAAGTTTAATTTTTTTCCCAACCGTCTTTTATATTTAAAAAAAAAAAGTTAATCTGTTAATTTTTAAGATTTCTTTCATACTGTACAGAAATTTGCACATTGATTCAAAGACTTTAAAAAAAGTTGGAAAAATAAATAAATAAATAAATAAATAAAACCGCTGTAGATTGTCACTTTAACCTCCACAGTGAGTTTTGTTGGGCCAGAATGATGGGGTTTGTCCAGGTGGAGGTCCAGCTGTGACATCCACATCCCTCTCCCTCATCCCTGCCCTCCCTTTGTAGCCATTTGCACTCCGTCTAACATCTTCCACACAACTTTATTATTATTTTTTACTTATTTTTACCTTCACTATTGCTTCTTTTCCCGTCTTTTTTCCCCCTGTGTTTCCAGTGCAGTGATGGTGTGCTGTGGTCTCCCCACTCAGAGGAATAATATCAGCGGTGTGAGAAAGGTCCAACCTCACATGTCCTGTGCGACTGAAGGAAGGCTGTGTGAGGTTAGACCTATCCCACACGGCTTGTATTCTTCCCAGCCATGAGACCTTCCGCCTGCCATCCCATTCCTCCTCCTCCTTTAATCATTATGTATGGGGAAAAAATCCTTACCTTGATTTTTATTTTTATTTTATTTTTTGCTAATGACTTCTTTAAATCTGGACGTACCGCATGCTTTGTGTCCACTATTGCCTTCAGTGTGTGCTTTGGTTACTGTGACGTGTTTCAGTTGGCATGGTCTTCATGTCACTGTGTGTGTTAAATTATTTCATACCTATTATTGGAGTGTGTGTGTGTGGGACCATTCAGTATGAGGTCTGCTCTTCTCTCTCACTCAGAATGGGCTCAACGGGCTTCACCTGGCCTCCAAAGAGGGCCACGTCAAAATGGTGCTGGAGCTCCTTCACAATGGAATCACACTGGAGACCACCACAAAGGTAAAACACTGCAAACAGTGTTAAATGCCTAACTCCTGTAAAATACAGTCATAAGCTAAAGACAAAAACAGTCTGATGTAAAAGGTTCTTGTTTTGGGTCTCTTGTAACTGACCAGCATCATCTTGAATATTTTAAGAAGAATAAGAGCTTTGCTTAAAATGGGTTTAAAACAGGAGTAAGGTAATTAGAAACTAAAGGGGGGAAACAATTTAGAATTAATTAAAAAGGTTAAAGTGAGTGAATCCAAAGGAAAAGGAGAAAATCTCTTCTACAACATGAATGAAGGCAGTTAGGATATACCTTCTTTACATGAAGTTCTTTTTTTTTTATTGACAGAAATATAAGATAAGATATTGATCCCGCAGGAAATTATTGTGCCAGAGATTCCCTTATTATGCATGGAATAATAAAATATTTGAGATATTAAAATCTCTTGAGATTTGAATTGTCATTTTTTAAACAGTCTTTGATTTAAATCTTGATGTTCAGAAAACACATTCAGCATTTTAACAGGTAATCGGCCTCTAACAGTCTTGTGCGTTTTGTTCTTGTGTTTAAACAGAAAGGGAACACAGCCCTGCACATCGCAGCCCTGGCAGGGCAGGAGCAGGTGGTCACAGAGCTGGTAAACTATGGGGCCAATGTCAACGCTCAGTCTCAGGTGAGACCCCAAGCTTTTCTCACACCGCAGTGGTCCCAGGATACACTGAGGCTGCTCACAGGGGTTTTATTGTGAATCCATTGTAGCAACTATACTGCAATTCCATCTGTTAAACTGTGTCTGTTTGTTCGGTATTTCTGTGCTTGCTTCTTCTCCACGTACATCCTTGTGTGGACATTTGTGACTTTCTATTGCTGCGTTGTCTGTGTGTATGTGTTTGTACACGTGCCCCTGTCGTGTGTCTTTCTGAGACAGAAGGGTTTCACTCCCCTCTACATGGCTGCACAAGAAAACCATCTAGAGGTTGTGAAGTTTCTTCTGGAGAACGGAGCCAATCAGAGCATTCCAACTGAGGTACCAAAGAACTTGAGCGAAAAGGTTTAAAACAATAACATCCCACATTGCTCAAACCCATCCCTGCCAATTCACACTCGCTTTGTTTCCAAGCAGGTTTATTCATGATCTCCTCTCATCACTTTCTTCTTTTCTCCCTCTGACTCGCTCTCTCTTCTCGTTTGCTGCAGGACGGATTTACTCCTCTCGCTGTGGCTCTTCAGCAGGGACATGAGAACGTTGTAGCCCTGCTCATCAACTACGGCACCAAGGGAAAGGTCCGCCTCCCTGCCCTGCACATTGCAGCCCGAAACGATGACACACGCACAGCGGCGGTGCTTCTGCAAAATGACCCTAATCCTGATGTCCTCAGCAAGGTGCTTTTCTGATGCTGTTCTGAAGACACTGCTGTGTTTGATGTGTTTTTGTGATTCGTATTTGTCTAAAATGCAAAAACATCAGTAGTGGCATGTGCTCTGCAGACTGGATTCACTCCCCTCCATATTGCTGCACACTATGAAAACTTGAACGTAGCTCAACTGCTGCTCAATCGAGGAGCCAATGTCAACTTCACCCCAAAGGTAAGAGATTATACACATACCCTTGTAAAGATAGATGGTTAGCCTCTTTCCCTTGCTTTATTTTGTCCATGCATCTGTAGAACGGCATCACCCCTCTACACATCGCTTCCAGGCGGGGGAACGTTATCATGGTCCGTCTCCTGCTAGATCGAGGAGCACAGATCGATGCCAAGACAAAGGTGCAAATGGCAACTATCATATATCCCTGTCTTTTTTAATATAATGCTTCATCCCCTGAGTCATAAACAATACTGTCTTTTCAGGATGAGCTGACCCCTTTGCATTGTGCAGCCAGAAATGGGCATGTCAGAATTATAGAAATCCTGTTAGATCATGGGGCTCCCATCCAAGCAAAGACCAAGGTAACCTCGAAGGGATAAAAAAAAAAATAACAGTTCACTTCTCCTACAGGTTTACCTTTTCAGTCAGGTTCTGTGAAGTAACTTTGTGGAGTACAGTCTGAATTGGTCAGGCTGAAGATGTGTGGAAGAGTCCTTAACAACCACCTTTGATAAAAACTACATATAGCCAAAATAACCTTTTATACTTGTCCATCATTTTAATAAAACGGACCAAAACTCAACAGAAAACAGTAGCTAAATCAAGTTATACACTTTGTTGTGTTTTGCATTAGACAGTTTATTTTATTTCTGCCTTCTCAACCTTTGAGTCATAAAAATGTGCATTGTTGGACCCAAATGTAGAGAGCCAGAAGCAGATTCAAGATCAAAACTTGAAGTTTTATTGAACCCAAAAACAGTGTAACATGACTTGACATAAGCAGGAACTAACACGAGGATCTGACATCTAATAAAGGAAAGCCAAGAAGCATGCAGTACAGTAGACCAACACAGAGGGGAAACAAGTGTGCTGATTACTAATGGGAGTCAGGTGGTGTTTAAGGTGCTGAAACCAGGAACTATTTGGGATATGATGGTGCAAAGAAAATAACCTTCTCATCAATGTGAAGAAGACAAAGGAGATGATTGTGACCTTCAGAAGGAACAAACACCTACACCCCCCTGAACATAAGGGGATCTGTGATGGAAGTGGTCTCCAGCTACAAGTACTTGGGTGTACACATGAATGACAACCTCAGCTGGGGCAACAACATCACCAGCCTGATCAAGAAAGCTCATCAGAGACTCTACTTCCTCAGGCAGCTGAGATGAGCTGGTCTGGGAAGCTCAGTCCTCACCTCCTTCTACAGGTGTGCAGTGGAGAGCATCCTGTGCTCCAGCATCAACGTGTGGCATGGAGGCTGCACAGCTGCAGAATGAAAAGCTTTGCAGAGAGTGGTGAAGGCTGCACAGAAGTCTGTTGGAGTCAGCCTCCCCACCATCACAGACATTTACACCTCCAGATGCAGGAAGAGGGCCACCTGCATCATGAAGGACCCCACTCACCCAGCACACACACTTTTTGCCCTGCTCCCCTCAGGAAGGAGGTTAAGGAGCATTAATTGTAGAACCACTAGACTGAGGAACATCTTCTACCCTGACGCTGTTAGACTCATGAATAAATAACCAGAATAATCACTGTGAAAAATCACATCATGTTGCTGCTGATCTGTTTCATGTTGATGTGTTCATGCATGCTCATCTGCTCACACAGACTCATGCTCATGTCCGTGCTGCTGTTCGGCGTAATGTTTTTATGCTATTAGTGCTTAGTGTATTTTTAGTTGATGTTTGTCTTAGTTCAAATCTTAGATATTATCATTGTTTTTCTTTTACATTTTATTGTTGGATGTAACTGGGACCCTGTGTACATAAATTCGTTCCACCACTTGTACCACATGTGGTGTGAACGGCAATAAATAATCTCTGGCTCTGACTCTGATATCTAATGGTAATGATGGAGAAAACAATAATCCAAAACACAACGAAACCCAAAACCAAAGATGAACAAAGTCAAAATGGTGAAAGTAAACAAAGACCTTCAAAACCATGACAAACTATGACATTTTGTTTATGCTGTTATGCATGTGCGTTTGCAATGGCTAATAAATCTACTGGTCTAAAAATATTTGTAACAGAAATTCTCAGCAGTATGGTTTAAATCCTGACATAGCTGATTAGAGCTAACTTTAGCTAGCTTTGTGCCTTAAGTTGGAGTGACTTTTTTTTTAAAGGTTGAGTTTCGTAATTGATCAAAAACGAGTTGCCTTTTTTAGTAGAGGCAACCAGAAATATACCTGACAGTTTGTCTGACAGGTATCCTCCACTTCTCCAAACTGAAGTTGCTCTGTCTTCTATAAATACTGACTGCTCATTTGTACTCCACACATCCAGCTTCAAAATCACTGAACTATCCCTTGAATGGAATTTGTAAAATATCTTATTTGAGCACAAACAAGTGAGCTTATTCAGTCTGCTACTATTAATGAATTAAAGTCATGGTCACTGTTTATTCTGCTGATCTTTTCTCTGTGAAGGAGTCTTCATTTCTTCTTGTTTTGCAGAATGGTCTGTCTCCGATCCACATGGCAGCGCAGGGAGACCACATGGACTGTGTCAAGCAGCTGCTGCAGTACAACGCAGAGATTGATGACATCACCCTGGACCACCTCACCCCTTTGCATGTGGCAGCACACTGTGGGCATCACCGCATGGCCAAAGTACTGCTGGACAAAGGGGCCAAACCCAACTCAAGAGCTCTGGTTAGAAACACACTGATCTACCTAAAGTCTGCTGGTTACACCAGAAACCCTGAAAAGCTCTTTGACTGACAGCTATTAGCTCATGGGTTATTGATGACGGACAAATGCTAAAATGAAATGCTCATTTTATCTGTTAATACGAAACCATCTAGCTTTTTACCATTAAAGTGACAGTGATGGGTTTGTGTTTGCAGAACGGCTTTACTCCGTTGCACATTGCCTGTAAAAAGAACCACATGCGTGTAATGGACCTCCTGCTCAAACAGTCTGCATCAATAGAGGCTGTGACTGAAGTAAGAAAGGAAATGAGAATCATTTGTTTAAAAACTATACACATTAAAAATAATGTCTCCTTTTGTGTTTAATTTGCAAACAAGAGTTTCAAGTTTCTTCATAACTTCTTGTATTCTGTTAATATCTTGAACAGTCTGGCCTTACCCCGCTGCATGTGGCATCTTTTATGGGACATCTTAATATTGTGAAGATCCTTCTGCAGAAAGGTGCTTCGCCCAGCGCTTCAAATGTGGTGAGAACCTCACAGTGCATTTACAACCAGCTTAAATATAGAACACAAAACATAATCTGGCTGTGTGGTTTGTTTGTGTGAACAGAAAGTAGAGACTCCTCTCCATATGGCGTCTCGCGCAGGACACTATGAGGTTGCCGAGTTTTTATTGCAGAATGCAGCACCAGTGGATGCCAAGGCCAAGGTAGAATTTTTTTTTTTTTTATCACGAAAACACAACTGCAAGTTCTAAAAAACAAATTAATGCACTTTTTTTTATTATTAACTAAAAACAAATGTACTGAAAGTGCTTATTATGTTTCATGATGCTTGGTGCCACAGGACGACCAAACCCCCCTGCATTGTGCTGCTCGGATGGGTCATAAGGAACTGGTGAAGCTTCTGCTGGAGCACAAAGCCAACCCCAACTCCACCACCACAGCTGGACATACACCTCTGCACATCGCTGCCCGGGAAGGTCATGTTCAAACTGTACGCATCCTCCTGGACATGCAGGCGCAACAGACCAAGATGACCAAGGTAAAACTGGTCTGCTGAAATGTGTTACATTTGGTAACCAGCATTCACAGTAACTAATCTATTGTTTCCACTGACCTCTTGGTGATTCTGTAGAAAGGCTTTACTTCATTACATGTGGCCTCCAAGTACGGTAAGGTGGATGTAGCTGAGCTGTTGCTTGAGAGAGGAGCCAACCCAAATGCAGCTGGGAAGGTGAGAACAACAAACTCAGATTTACTTCTTAAATTTGGAACAAAGTAAAATAGATCAATAAAGAAAAGGTTTACAATAAAAAAAAAAACTTTGGATCTTATTTTATAGAATGGTCTGACTCCACTGCACGTTGCTGTACATCACAACAACCTGGATGTCGTTAACTTACTTGTTAGCAAAGGAGGGTCGCCACATAGTGCTGCAAGGGTAAACAAACAAAAGCAACATATTTTAAGCCACAGTGTCTTACATAAAAACACCCATTTGTCCTAAAACAGCTGATTTATGTTCCATAGAATGGCTACACTGCCCTGCACATTGCCTCCAAGCAGAACCAGGTGGAGGTGGCTAACAGCTTGCTGCAGTACGGAGCTTCAGCCAACGCTGAGTCTCTGCAGGGAATCACACCGCTCCACCTGGCCTCGCAGGAAGGAAGGCCCGACATGGTCTCCCTGCTCATCTCCAAACAGGCTAACGTCAACCTCGGCAACAAAGTCAGAGCATATCAATAAAAGAATAAATCATTTCAATATGATTTAAAATAAAATGAAGTCTGAAATGACTTGTTTTTGCTCTCCTGTCACCAGAGTGGATTAACACCCTTGCACCTGGTGGCACAAGAAGGACATGTAGGCATCGCTGACATCTTAGTGAAGCAAGGAGCTTCAGTCTATGCAGCCACACGGGTAAGACTTTTTTAATTTGTCCAAACAGTCAAAGAAGCCCACAGAGTAAATGTCATTGTAACTTTAATGAGATTATGTGGGACGATCATGAACTGTTTATGTTTTTCTACCTTGACAGATGGGTTACACACCTCTGCATGTGGCGTGCCATTACGGCAACATCAAGATGGTAAAGTTCCTCCTGCAGCATCAGGCCAACGTCAACAGCAAAACAAGAGTGAGTTCCTCCCACTCTGACAAAATTAGTCCTGTGCTGGAAACTTAAAGCTGCAGCATACAGTTTAAATTTACCGCACCCAGTTGCTGATTTATTTTTTTATTCCAGAGCCAATATGTCAGATTGTTAGTCTGACTAATAAAAGCAAACAAATTTGTAGTTTGTGCCTAAGTTCTCAGATGTTTTACTCGTCCTTTTCAGCTCGGTTACACTCCTCTGCACCAGGCAGCTCAGCAGGGACACACAGACATTGTGACATTGTTGCTGAAACATGGCGCCCAGCCCAACGAGGCCACTACCGTGAGTACGAGTGCACGTTCTCTTCCTCATTCTGTCATAAAGTTTTATCTCCAAATTGATCAAACTGCCTGTCTCTGTCTGACAGCATGGCACAACTGCATTGGCCATTGCCAAGAGATTGGGCTACATCTCTGTGATCGACGTCCTCAAACTTGTTACTGAGGAGACTGTTTCCATGGTGAGAAGATTACAAACGTCTGTGGATGCAGTGCCCGTGTTATCTAATGAAAACAAACAATGCCAGCTTAACGCAACGTTAGTATTGTTTTTACTTGTCGCTGTCATTCTTGATTTTATTTTATTCTGTATTCTGCAGACAACCACAGAGAAACATCGTATGAGTTTTCCAGAAACTGTGGATGAGATATTAGACGTGTCTGAGGATGAAGGTAAATATCTATATCTATAATTATTATTACTATAAAAGAATAGAGAGTTAAGATTTTTTTTTAAATACAAAGAAATTCATTTTTCTACCTCTTTTGCCCTTTTTTTTAGGAATTGCGCAGCTAACTTTAGGTATGACTGCTCATTTTGTTTTTTTCTGCAGCATTCTTAGGCTTTTGTGAAATAGTGTGTTGCTTCATTTCAAGCTCACGCCATCTTCGTCTCCCTGCCTTTTCCTCCTTCAGTCACTCTGTAGTGGTGCTCACTGTGATCGTAGCTCTGGTTTCCTGTTGGCATGCACCCATGACACTCATGTTTATAACCTCTAATTTCATATGTTCCTCCTGTAACATCCTCATTTTCTAACTCTCCGGGGTTTTTTTTTTTTTACACTCCATGAGTTATTGTGTTTTTAGTAGAAATCACCACCAACGCAAAGATTTCTACTTTCACTGTGGATTGATTTAGTGTTGGAGTTGCTTTGCAGTGTGTGTCTAATTTACTTACCTGTAAATCTGCATCCATGGTGGTGTTCATTTTATAACATAAGATGTTCTTGTCATGTGAATTGTGATCAAGGAGGTTCTTGAGCCAGAAGCTGAAAACGGTGGATTTTATTAGCAGTAATCAGCACTGATGCATAAACAATTTAAAGAAAAGGAATCACTTCACAAATCACCAATAATAATAATAATAATAATAATAATAATAATAATAATAATAATAATAATTAATTAATTAATTAATTACATCAATCCCCTCCCTGAAGTCTCTCAAGATTTTAAGAAACTTAAAGATAATTGCCTTTTTCCCAAATTCTCCATGTGGTTCATTTTCACAGATATAGCAGCATTTTTAAATAAAAAAAACAATCATCACTTGCTTAAAAAAACAGATTGGCTGTGCAGTCACTCTTTACAGCAGTTCTGAAGCCTTACACCCAGTAAGATATAATATTAGTGACATTTGTATGTAAACGATGTGACTAAACAGTTTGGATTGGACTTTTTGCTGAGGAAAAAACTGAAGGGGGGGAAGAGAAAAAAATCACTAAAATTGATCAAACCAACTAAAACATATCTAAATGCTTTTGTTAATTGTGTTTCTTATTGTGTGAAATGCCAGCTCCAGCTCATATCACTTTAAAAGTAATATAACACTTCAGTTTGTTTCTCTCAGTTTATGCTTCTCTCAAGTAGCTAAAAACAACCTGTGTGGTCATTTAAGCTTTGGCAGTTGAGATTGTGAACTCAATAAAATGAGAAAATGTCATGTCTTGGCATGTTTAGTCCCTTGATAATGCAACAAACCGATTGTCAGTGTGGCTCTAAATTTAGAAAACCGCTCAGTCTTAAATACACATCTCCGGAACTGTAAAATGATATTAGTGGATGATGTGATGCTCCCCCACTGGATATGATAATATTTAGCCATTGGATATACGGGGCAGGAGCCGACTCATCAGAACCTGTAAAAACACATCCATCAGTTTAGCTTTGGACTTTATTCAGACCCCTCCACCCCCTCACACACACCTTGGCTGAGATAAACTCAGAAATTCATAAACGTAGGGAAATCTTCTCTTTCACCGCTGGTGATTAGGCACATTTTTGGTGATTAGACCTGTTTTGTGGGGTAAACAACAAAAGTGCAACTCAGCTCACATTCAGATGGTTCAAATGAGCAGCCACAGTTTTATGCATTGTGTCAGAATCATGTTCTGATTGTGATTCAACTAATTTGTTCCAGAGTAAAGCTCTGTTATCACTCTCTAAAGCAGCTAATGTTTGCAACCCCCACCCCACAAGCAGCCTGTGTGCTCTCATCAGAGCTCATGCGCTCCATGTGTTTTGAATGTTGGACTTTTGTGTTTTTGTTTCTAGACTACATCTATGAACTTCCTTCTGTGATTTTGATGTAATAATGTAAATTTCTGAGTAGTCTCAACTTAGAGATTTAATCTGGTCACAGGGAATTACTGTACTCTTCGTATACTCGTACCCTCTTTAAGTGTTTTCATAGTTGTTTGTGTGGCAGCAGCAGCATCACTTGTTTTGTCACTGGCTAATTCAGTGCCACAAATGTCTCCTATCATCAGTCTAATCCCTAATTATCAGAGCCATCAACTTCACACACCCTGGGTTGTCATGTTGTCTAACCCTTCTAACCACCCTTTAACAGCCTTGTTTTCTTTCTCTTTTTCTCTTGTGCTGTGTCACCAACCTGACCACGGTCTGTTCGCTCTCTTTGGCATGTTGTTCTCTGAAGGAGAGGAGCTCTTGGGGACAGAAGGGGCCAGGTACATGAAGATGGATGACATGAAAGACCATGATGACGATTTCCTCTCCCCCAAGAAATCACTGGAGTACGAGCAAGGGCTGGGCACAGCGTAAGGGGATGGGGCGTGGGCGCGGGGCAGCAGGGTAGAGAGCCAAGCTAGTAGCTAACAGATGGATTAGTGGGATTAGGGGAATGCATCGTATACTAAACACCAGGATGATCACTTGGGAGGAGCTAAGATGTGAAGAATCAATCTGATTTGATTTTGTCTTTTTTCTCACAACAGAAATTATTCACCAGCCATTCCCAGGATTCCCCGTGTCTCACCAGAGACTGTGAATCTGAAAGAACATGAGATAGATCAGGTACTGCAGAACGACATAAGCTGATAATATTACAGAGGTAATTTGGTAATTTTGCATTGTACTTAAGTAATTTGGTGAAATAGTCAAAACGAAAGCAGAAGAGATTGTGAGACTTTAACTAGAAGCCACCTATCTGACTGGAAATCGTTGTGTCAAAAGAGCTCATTTTATGATGTGTGGGTTTTCACTATTTGTTAATGTAGCTATATGTGCACATAGAAGGTATTCATTGCAAAGCCCAAAGTGTCAAGAAACTTCTTGTCTCACAGGAAAACACGTCTTCTCAACAGCCTGAAACTATGGAGCTAGAACTAAAAAATAAAAAAAAACTGAGAGACATAAGTAAAGTTTGAGCAATTATTATGGTTATGTTTATGGTTCACTTCTCGCACAGTGACTGTTGGATATCTGCACCAGTGACCTCCCGTGACCTGAAAAGGAAGAAGTAGGTAAAAGATAATGGATGGATGTTCATGGTTAATATTAATATGATAAATGTGAAAGTATTTTATAATGTTTTAGTTAAACCATGCTGTTTCACTTAAAAAAAAATATTCCTTTAAACTAGTGATATTCTATGGTGATTTCATTGTATGCTTTTTTTCCTTCTTCTTCTTTTCTTTTCCTTTTTTTTACAAATAACATGTTTGTTTACCATTCACTATGAAATTAGACAACAGTATGTAATTCTAAATCATCAAAAATCC